ATCCTCCATGGATGGCAGCTCTGTCCTGGTGATGTGCTGTGCAGTTTTCACTACCCTCTGAGTCTTATGGTTGAGATCGTTGCAACTGCCGTACCAGGCCGTGATGCAGCCAGTCAGGATGCTCTCTATGGTGCACCTGTAAAAGGTCAGGATACTCTCTATGGTGCCTCTCTATGGTGCACCTGTAGAAGGTCAGGATACTCTCTATGGTGCACCTGTAGAAGTTGAAAGAAAACCTTCTGTCGAGCTGTTTTGGTGACAGTGTTTGTGTGATGAGTCCATGTCAGGTCCTCAGTGATGTGGACACCGAGGAACCTGAAGCTGCTGACTCTCTCCACAGTAGTCCCATTGATGGTGATAGGGGCGTGTCCCTCTCTCTGCTGCTACCTGTAATCCACAATCAGCTCCTTGATTTTGCTGATGTTGAGATGGCGGTTGTTATCCAGGCACCGATATATCAGGGTTCTGAATTCCTCTCTGTACACTGTCTCGTCGCCATCAGTGATCTTCACGATGGTGTTGGAGCTGTGTGTGGCCACGCAGTCGTGAGTAAACAGGGAGTAGAGGAGAGGGCTGAGCGTGCAGCCTTGAGGGGCTCCGGTGTTGAGGATCAGGGTGGAGGTTGTAATGATTCCCACCCACACTGCCTGGGGTCTGCCCCGTCAGGAAGTTCAGGATCCAATCACAGAGGGCGCTGCTGAGACCGAGGTCTCTGAACTTGATGACCAGCTTGGAGGGCACAATGGTGTTGAAAGCTGAACTGTAATCAATGAACAGCATTCTCACATATGTGTTCCTCTGGTCCAGGTGTGAGAGGGCAGTGTGGATGGTGAGGGCCATGGCGTCGTCTGTGGACCTGTTTGCTCTGTAGGCAAACTGCAGGGGGTCCAGAGAGTCAGGGAGGGAGGAGGTGATGAATGTTTTGACTAACCGCTCAAAGCACTTCATGATGATGGAGGTGAGTTCTACTTGGCGGTAGTCGTTGAGGCTGGTGATTTTTGACTTTTTGGGGACAGAAACGATGGTGTTTGAAACATGTGGGGACTACAGACTGCAGCAGTGACCTGTTGAAGATGTCCAATAGGGGATCGATTTCCTGTCAGTCTCTAACACTAACATTTGTATTTTCTTGGCTTGCCAGTGTTTTGTATTTCAATGCGGCATCTACATTAATTTACTTCTGTTGCACTTCTACTGGCTAGCGTTTCGACACAATGTACGTGATAGGCTGAGGGGTGGGATATTTGAACAATCACAACAGAGCCGGCTAGCTAACCAATCAGAGCAGACGGGGCTCTGGTTTCAGACAGAGGGTAAAAAGTAGACACACTCAATACAAACGTTATCTCTGAAAATATATATATCCTTTATTTAACCAAAGTCTCATTGAGATTAAAATCTCTTTTTCAAGAGCGACCTGGCCAAGAGGGCAGCATGAACAATGTCACAACAAATGAACACAAAACAATAGAGGCAGACGAATGCAGCATGACAGGGCTCCTTTAAGACGTAATGAAACTATTTTATTGGCGCTGATTCTTTGTTTTCATCGGAAAGGGGGTGGGGCTGAGATGTGGTAGTGCTGCACTCATGTGGCCAAAATTAGTATTAAAAAAACTAGAATCTTTGAACAAATTATGGAACTTATACAAAATGATTATGGCAAAACCTTTTTTTTATGTGAGGTCATAAACACAGAAGAGAAAACAAATTAGATCAGACATAGAACATGGATTTTCTAGAACTGTTTTCCCCTCATTTACCCTTCAGGACTTCTGTAGCAGCAGGCCCCTTCAGACCGATATCTAGGAAGATGATAACCAATGATAACAGCCATTTGATAGGCTGATAACATTTAAATGTGTTGTTGCAAATCAAAACGTGCTGTCAGAAAACATTCAAGTGCTCAATTTGTTCTGTTAATACAATATAACAATGTACCACTTTACTGTTGCATTTAAAGATACATTTCTATGGTATCCTGTCACATGGTGCACATTATGAATGGAACACTCCAGCACCGGCGGTTTCAGACATCAGTGTACACATTGTTAATTATAAACTCACGTAATATTCAAAGATGCCTGTAATTGAATGTCCTGCCTCCAATAACGTCAAGGACTCCAGAGGCCTGCACTAGTAGTGTTGGCATGGAAACTGCACTGAGACTTTTTTTAAATAACTGTATTTAAACATGAGATATTTTTTCTCTCTTATTTCCTCCCTGTCTTTTTCTGCCAACATCCTTAGTAACATCCCATTAAGCTTCAATGACCTAAATGTATCCACTTTGGTCAAAACATGAGCTGGAGCTTCTGTGCGTCATTCAACGTGTCCTCATCTTTTATTCTGTCCACCTGCTCTTAATTCATCCCGCTTATGACTGAACTTGCCTTGTGCAATGGACAATTAGGTCCAGCTTTTAATTGCTTCTGTTTCAGTGCAGCTCAGTTGTTCCTTCTGAGAATGAAACACAGAGCCGATCACTGTTTTAAATGTTGATGTTTTATCCATTCATAAAATACATTTAAATATAAACACTTAAATACTTAATTAATAGTTGTGGCAATATAACCAACAGGTACTTAGTACATTTAAACAACTGCTTCACTTAATGACAATTTACTTTAGGCCTGCAAATATTGATAATTCACATTGAAATGTCCATCCCAGTTTCTCAATTTCCAAGCGAATGTCTTACATTTATTTCTGGTTTTAGTTAAAAAAACGAAAATATCGGGTTTATTATGCTGGTGATGAGCTTGATAATCTCCATATTTGACATCATTTCCTGCAATGTTTTCATTCAAATGTACTGTAAAAAATCATACATAATCTAGACTTTGATCATTTTGTACTTGAAATCAGGGGAACGGACATTTTTTCATTTTCATTTAATCGTTTATTTGGCAGGGACAATGCACAGTAATGAACACTTAAAACATTCAAATGTGTCAAGCGTAACAGTGCCAGATTTAGCTTTGAGCTAATTTCCATCCGCAGTCCCTCACATAAAACATTTAAGAAAATTACATTTTACAAACATAGCATAAACAAAATACATGATACGCAAAAAGTGCAAAAGAGCAATAGCAGCACACACAAGTATTTACCACATGGCAGTACAATATAGCAGCTACGACATATAAAGTGCAAGAAAATATAAAAGTGCTACATAAAGTGCAAGAGGAGATACCCCTGTATTGAAGTGCAATTAGCGGTGATTGCACGTCTGTTTGTTTCTCAACCATTATTTTTAGTTGACCTTTAAAGCTATTGAGAGTGGGACAATCCCGTATCTCAGTTGGGAGGCTATTCCAGAATGAGCTGCCTTTAACGGAGAGGACATTTTGTCCAAAAGTGGTCCGTCTATGGTGGACTTCACAGTCTCCTCTGGTTTCTGACCTAGTGCAGCGTCCAGTGTGTTTTTTGTGGATGAATTCCCCTAGGGGAGGGGGGGGCAGTCCATGTAAACATTTATAAAAAAAACACATACTTTTAAAAGACTTTAAATTGTCAAAACTCAATAAATTGTGTTTTTCTAGGATGGTACAGTGGTGGTATGAATTTGTCTTTCTGTCAAAAACCTTCATAGCTCTCTTGTACAGCTGTTCTATGGGTTTCAGGTTTGTGGCACAAGCAAACGACCAGTTTGTAAAACAGTATTCAATGTGGGATAGAATCATACAGTGGAGGTATGACTTTGCAGCATTGACAGTTAAGAAAGGTCTGATTTGTTTAAAATGTTGCAAGTTGAATTTAATGGTATTGGATACTTTCTTAATATGTTTCTTAAAAGTCAAGTTCGAGTCCAGTATGACTCCAAGATACTTGAAGTGGGGGACTAGTTCTAATTCTGCTCCGTTTAAAAACACATTGGATCCTTCGATTTTGACTGGTCGTTTACTGAACATCATGCATACTGTTTTTTTTGCATTTAACTGTAAGCAAATGTTGTTCAGCCAGTGTTGAACCTTGTCCAATGCATTTGAGAGACAGGATGTGATTATTTCAGTATTTTTCCCCTGTACAAAGATGACCGCATCATCGGCATACATTTGCACATTCAACTCAGGACATACATTAGGCAAGTCATTCATGTACAGTGAAAACAGTAATGGTCCAAGAATGGAACCTTGTGGAACCCCAACAGGGTTGACAAGGTAGGGGGATTTGGTACCGTTGACCAAAACACACTGTTTTCTGTTCGATAAGTAAGACTCAACCCACTGTATTGAATCTGCTGAAAAATTGAAATAAGTCAGCTTTGTAAGGAGCACTTGGTGGTCAACAGTGTCAAATGCCTTCCTGAGATCAAGGAAGACAGCACCTACATTATGGGCTCGTGTCCAACATACATTTAACCTTTTCCACAAAGACACAGTTAGCTGTCTCAGTGGAGTGGTGAGCACGAAAACCAAACTGCATTGGGTGGAGTGGAGCGAAACCTTTATCTAAATGTTTGGTGATTAGTTTTGACACCCATTTCTCAGCTATCTTAGAGACACAGGGGAGGATGCTGATTGGTCTGTAGTTGGACATCATTGCCTTATCCCCAGATTTAAAAATCGGTGTCACCATGGCCACCTTCCAGGACGATGGAACTTCCCTCGTGCTAATAGATAGATTTACTAGCATACTAATTGGTTTTATTAGACCGTCAATATTTGTCTTTATAAAGTTGGTGTCTAAATCATCTGCATCCCTAGCCTTAGGACCTTTTAACCCTAAGATTATATTTTTTACCTCCACCTCTGTGATTTCCTCCAGGTCAAAAACTGGATGTGTATCCACAGTCGGGCTATGGGAGACCTCAGATGGCGGGAAGAGCTTTGTGATGTCCAGAGCACTATTTATAAAATACTAATTTAGAGAGCTGGCCAACACTGCAGGGTCTTTTATCAGGGCATCATTGATTTTTTATTCTAGAGCATTATTTTCCTGTTTCTTATGTTTACCTAATAGTTTATTTAGGATTTGTCAAACGTTTTTACTGTTACCTTTCGCACCTTCAATTATGTTGATGAAAAAGTTTGCTGTCATTGTTAGTTCCTTGTTTGTCTTTGACTGTGTCACAGGGTAGTGTTCTGTCTTCTACTTTGTTACCTTGGATTAAAGGAATTATCTTGGAAATCTGCATTTGGGTCCTGCCTGCTTCACTCAACCCTGACAGAAGGAACTAACCAGAAATGGGCCCAGCAGATCCATTTGAGGTGGATTTACAAAATGTTACCTTTTCTTTGGCTTGCTGCTATGGTAGGTGGAGGGGAGCGTCCAGTGTTCAGCAGAAAGAGGCTGCTCTGGCAGAGGCTCACCAGGTGGCAACAGTGGATCCATCTTTAGTTAAGTTCTTACCTGACTGGATTTTGGATTTCCTTTCGACGTGTGATTCCCGGCCTGCTAGCCCCAGGCATGCTAGCCCCCTGCCTCCCAACTCCCAACCTGACACCATACATCTCGGTGTGTTCCGTCTGGAGTCAACCCCTGCTTCTTCCCCATTTCCTGCTCCTGTCCAGGAGCCGTTCTCGGGCACTCGTCTGGCTTTTGGAGGTCCACGGAGCCTCCAATACCCCTTTCACACCAACGCAACTCCGGTTCAAGCTCCGTGCTAGAGCTTTTCAGGTTCAGAACCGGTACTTCGGTTTAGCTCCGGCTCTTTTCACACCGCTCAGAGCCCGACTGGTGCTGCCGCTGCTGCGTCATGACGTCACAGTTTACGTCGCTGATTTTCTCCCCAACGGAGCTCACCTCACAACAACAACGGGCCGGGGACTGCGTTGCTTTTAATCATACGAAGCCAGATTAAATTAAATAACGACTTCTCCAACCTTATACTTTTCTCCAGAGTGCCGTGGTTCATTGTTTATTAATGTGTTTCAGCGGCATTTACCGACCGCTGCAGTGCTGCTGCTCTTCCACGAGTGTATTCTCCCGTTAGCTCCGGGTTAGCTCACACGGCTCTAAAGTATTCACTGTCTGACTGTCACACAAGCAGCTGATACATATCCCCAGTTCCCTTTAAGTGAATGTGTGTCAGTCTGAATTGACGCTGTTTGGCATCACAACGCTGTTATGAAAGTTTCTCTGGTATAACATGGGTGATGTTAGCATAGCAACCGAAGCTAAACTGACTACTTGCTAAGCCGTTTTCTCCAGGCACTTTTTACCGACGTATTTTTCATTATGATTCTACTTGTGATAGTCGGACATGACAACCTGTGCAGCCCATGTATTGATTCCATCCGATAGCTGCTATAATAACAAACAAAACGTCTGCCTGCTCTCCACAATGATCAATAACAGCGAACGGATGGTCAAAGTAAGGTACAAATAAACAGAATCACACGAAGCCTGGTTAGTGTTGCCTGACTTTATAAAGTGTGTTTTTTTTTAACAAGTGTGTGGTTGCGTTCTAGTCACTTTGCTCAGCACTACTGCTTGTTACAACCTTTATTTGCCGTACTCGCCTTAACTGTTAGCTCAGGTTAATCTCGCCCCCCTCCGACGTAAGCGTGACGTATGCGGTTCTTGCTTCTAGACGGACAACTTTTTGGTGCTCGAAACGAACCGGATTCCGGAGCTTAGAGGCTGCTCCGCTGCGGTGTGAACAGGAAAACCCGGTGCTTTTCAAGCACCAGCACCGAACTGGCCCCGAAACACCGTTGGTGTGAATGGGGTACAAAAGGCTCCTAAGAGAAGGAGTCGCAAGTCCAGGCTAGCAGCCCGAGCCCCAGAAGCCATGCTTTGGGCTCCAGTACAGGCCCCAGCAGCCATGGTTCCGGCTCCAGAACCGGCCCACACAGCCATGGTTCCGGCTCCAGAACCGGCCCACACAGCCATGGTTCCAGCCCCAGTTCTGGCCCCAGCAGCCATGGTTCCAGCCCCAGTTCTGGCCCCAGCAGCCATGGTTCCGGCTCCAGAACCGGCCCACACAGCCATGGTTCCGGCTCCAGAACCGGCCCATACAGCCATGGTTCCAGCCCCAGTTCTGGCCCCAGCAGCCATGGTTCCGGCCTCTGTTCCGGTCCAGCACGCCATTTCTCATCAGGGAAATCTTCTGGGCCAACATGAGCAGATGATGCAAGCCTTAGGCCCCGCTCACACGGGACCGTTTGCGTTTATGCACAGTATGCGTATTCAAAAAAGTCTTCCGTTCACATGCATTTGTTTCATTTAACGTGTCTGTTCAAACGAGGCCGCTGGAAACGCTGTAGTACATATGCTGGGACTGTAAGTGGCGCTGTAACTTCCGCCAAAATACACCAAAAGCCGCGAAGAAGAGCAACCGAGCAGCCCCGCTGCAATGTTGCCATGGCTACCCTTCTGTTTAAGCCCCGAAACTGAAACTGAAACTGAAAGAAACTGAAAGAAACCGAATCTGTGGATATTGCATCCCGACCAAGAAGCACGTCTCCGTGGAGAGGACGGCTCAGAAAGAGAGAGATATTCTCTACAAACACCGGGTGAGATCCTCCTTTGTCAATATAATGGATCAATGCATGAAATCTGACTGTTTATTTTGTTTAAGGAGTATATTGGGCGTTAACAATTCTGGTTTGCCTTTTATAATATTATTTCATTCAAGAACCCCTTGTGCGTTTAATTAACACAGCTATTTTTGATAGTTGCTACAGCAGTGAGCAGGAGAGGTGGGGAGAGGCGGGGCTATCGTTATTTTTTCAGGAAATATTCGTATCGAGGTGATTACACGGACTCGGTTGACCCCCCAGAGCGTTTCGTTTGCAAATCTATCCACCTTGGGACCCGTTATTGTTTGTGGGGTCAGTTTCTATCGGCCTCGTGTAAATAATAGGGCTATACGCACGCGGAACTATGCAGATACAAGCAGTTTTCTCCTCGTGTAAACGGCGCCTTAGTTGAAAGCAATCAGTCCATGGCTCTACACATCTCAAACCTTGCTGCTCAGGTCTCAACTCTGACGTCTTCTGCTGCATTTCCTGCCTCCTCCAATCCACCTGTGGATTCCACTCCAGCCCCTCGTGTCCTGTCGGTGGTCCGGCCGACTCCAGCACCTCGTCTCCTGTTGGCTCTCCGGCCGACGCCAACCCCATGTCCTGTCCTGTTGGAGGTCCCGCCGACTACTCTTCTGCCGGGGGTCTTGCCAATCCTATGTCCTGTTCCGTTGGGGGTCCCGCCGACTACTCTCCTGCCGGGGGTCTTGCCAACTCCATGTCCTGTCCCATTGGGGGTCCCGCCGACTACTCTTCTGCCGGGGGTCTTGCCAATCCTATGTCCTGTCCCATTGGGGGTCCCGCCGACTACTCTGCTGCCGGGGGTCCTGCCAACCCTATGTCCTGTGCCGTTGGGGGTTCCGCTGAGGGTCCTGCCAACTCCACGTCCAGTATCGTTGGAGATCCTGCCGACACCTGTTCCGCTGTGGGTCCTGCCAACCCCATGTCCTGTCCTGTTGGGGGTCCCGCCGACACCTGCTCCGCCGGATTTCCTGCCAACACCAGATCCTGTCCTGTTGGGGGTCCCACCGACACCTGTCCCGCCGACACCTGTCCCGCCGGGGGTCCTGCCAACTCTGTGTCCTGTTCCGTTGGGGGTCCCGCCGACTACTCTCCTGCCGGGGGTCTTGCCAACTCCATGTCCTGTCCCATTGGGGGTCCCGCCGACTACTCTTCTGCCGGGGGTCCTGCCAACCCTATGTCCTGTGCCGTTGGAGGTCCCGCCGACTACTCTTCTGCCGGGGGTCTTGCCAATCCTATGTCCTGTTCCGTTGGGGGTCCCATCGACTACTCTCCTGCCGGGGGTCTTGCCAACTCCATGTCCTGTGCCGTTGGAGGTCCCGCCGACTACTCTCCTGCCGGGGGTCTTGCCAACTCCATGTCCTGTCCCATTGGGGGTCCCACCGACTACTCTTCTGCCAGGGGTCTTGCCAACCCTATGTCCTGTGCCGTTGGGGGTTCCACTGAGGGTCCTGCCAACTCCACGTCCAGTATCGTTGGGGGTCCTGCCGACACCTGTTCCGCTGTGGGTCCTACCAACCCCATGTCCTGTCCCATTGGGGGTCCCGCCGACACCTGCTCCGCCGGATTTCCTGCCTACACCATGTCCTGTCCTGTTGGGGGTCCCGCCGACGCCTGTCCCGCCGGGGGTCCTGCCGGCTCTGTGTTCTGTTCTGTTGGGGGTCCCGCCGACACCTGTCCCGCCGGGGGTCCTGCCAACTCTGTGTCCTGTCCTGTTGGAGGTCCCGCCGACACCGTTTCCACCGGGGGTCCTGCCAACTCTGTGTCCTGTTCCGTTGGGGGTCCAGTCGACACCAGCCCATGTCTTGTTCGGGATCCCGTCTGCGCCTGTCCCGTCGGCTCCGGTTCCTGTCCGGCCGATGCTGGGTCCTGCCCGTCCTCCGGAGCTGTCCCGTTGGCGCCTTCCTGCCCGTCCTCCGGAGCTGTCCCGTCGCCGCCTTCTTGTTCGCCCTCGAGCCCGGCCCCCTGAGTGCCGCGGTCTTCGCCCTCGAGCCCGGCCCCCTGAGTGCCGCGGTCTTCGCCCTCGAGCCCGGCCCCCTGAGTTCCCCAGCCGCGGTCTTCGCCCTCGGGCTCTGCCCCCTGACTCTTCCAGCCGCTGCCTTCGCCCTCGAGCCCGGCCCCCTGAGTGCCGGGGCCTTCGCCCTCGAGCCCGGCCCCCTGAGTGCCGGGGCCTTCGCCCTCGAGCTCGGCCCCCTGATTTCCCCAGCCGTGGTCTTCGCCCTTTTTCGAACTCTGCCTTGCCCCCGGGCCGTCCGCCCGAGACCCCCTCCTTGATCTCTGCCTTGCCCCCGGGCCGTCCGCCCGAGACCCCTTCCGGGTCCTCCGCTGTGTCCCTGGGCTGTCAGCCCAAACCCGTCCTCCAGACCCCCTCCACCCACCCTTTTGGCCCTAGTTTTGTCTCCCTCCTCCGGTCCCCCTCCACCCACCCTGCTGGACTTTTTTGGGACGTCTGGGATCCGTCCCTTGAGGTGGGGGTACTGTCACGATCTGTCTGTGTTGTGTTTTGTCTTGTCTTTTTCTGTCTTTGGTTTCCTGTTTTATTTTGAAAAGTGTTCACCCCCCGTCATGCCTGTTGCTTCCTGTCTCTGTGTTCCCTCCTACCTGATTACCCGATTGTGTTCACCTGGTGCCCCTGTGTTTTCTCCTCCCTCCTCACCTGTGTCTTGTTTGTGTGATTAGTCTTGTGTGTATTTTAGTTCTGGTTTTTCTGTCTGTCATTGTTAGTTCCTTGTTTGTCTTTGACTGTGTCACAGGGTAGTGTTCTGTCTTCTACTTTGTTACCTTGGATTAAAGGAATTATCTTGGAAATCTGCATTTGGGTCCTGCCTGCTTCACTCAACCCTGACAGATTTCACATAAAGCAACACACCCCCTCCTTTTCCCTTCAGTCTGTCCTTCCTAAACACATTATATCCTGCCATAGATACAAGAGTGGATGGTGACGACTGTTTTAGCCAAGATTCAGATATTCCCAAACAGTCAATATTGGACTCGAGGAGATGTTCTAGCTGTTCATGTTTATTGCAGATGCTGCGGAAATTTAAATGTCCACTGAATAGTCCCTTCGGCTTGCACCAAGGATCCCACACTGTTTTTGCTTGATTCACTGTTTGAAAATGTTTTGTGCAACAGTGTTTTTTAAATACAGGATTTCTAGGCTTTACCTCGGTGCCGTTGTTGATAGTGGAGCAGTCAAAGCTAGCTGGTGGTTTATGGATCTCTGCCGCTAGGCTGCTAGGCTGCTAGCCATCGGCGCGGTCCTGCAGTCCTTCGATGGTGTGGATGTTGGTCGTGCTGCTAGGCCAGCAGCCGTCAGCGCGAGACCACAGAGACCCGCCGGCAGAGCTAGCTGTTCAGCTAGCCGGCCTCTTCTGAAGCCAGTCCGGTGGTGCGAGAATCTCCGCTGCTAGGCCGCTAGCCCTCGGTGCGGATCCGTAGTTCTCCGATGGTGTGGAAGCTATCCGTCCTCCTCTGAAGCCAGCCGGCGGTGTGTGGATCTCAGCTGCTCGGCCACCAGCCCTCGGCGTGGACCCGTAGTCCTCCGGTGGTGTGGGTAGAGGTCCTGCTGCTAGGCCGGCAGCCATCGGCGCGAGACCGCAGAGACCCGCCGGTGGTGCTAGCTGCTCAGCTAGCCAGCCTCTTCCGAAGCCTACTGATGGCGTGTGGAGCTCAGCGGCTGGGCCGTCAGCCGTCAGGTTGATGGTGACGCCGTGACCCGGACACGGGTGGATATCTCCCGAGAGCAAGAGACACAGCAGAGCCAATAGCCCAATATTCTCCTCTTTTCGTTTTAAACCCTTTTTTTTGTTTGAGGGAGTCTGCCAGGAGTGCCAGATGAATGAACTGTAGATAATATGCCGACCATGGCCGAAGTGCTTGATATACAACGATGTTGCTGGTGCAGACAATGATGTATCCTCAACATGTTGTTTTACCATGGGGGCAAGATGAGTGGTGTAGCTACACAGAGGTTTGGGATTTAGGACAATCATGCAGAGATAGATTGCTGCCACTGCGCCAGAACTGCCTGCCACCATCTTGGGAACTTATAAAGAGAGGATGGCCAGTACGAGCGAGGATAGAGATTGTGAGATCTTACAAGTACCTTGGTGTTCATCTGAACAATAAACTGGACTGGTCTGTTCACTCTGCTGCTCTGTACAAGAAGGGACAGAGCAGACTCTTTCTGCTGAGGAGACTGAGGTCTTTTGGGTGCAGGGGGCACTTCTTCAGACCTTCTATGACTCTGTGGTGGCATCAGCCATTTTCTATGGTGTGGCCTGCTGGGGCAGCAGCATCTCTGCTGCTGACAGGAAGAGACTGAACAGACTGATAAGGAGGCCAGCTGTCCTGGGGAGTCCTCTGGACACTGTTGAGGTGGTGGGAGACAGGAGAATGGCAGCCAAGCTGTCCTCCCTGCTGGACAATGTGTCCCACCCCCTGTAAATTCCTCTCTCATCTGCATAAAGAGTACTTGATATTTAAGGTACTGTATATTAGTCTACTGAGAGTGGCTAAAAACAATATTTTAATTCTCCATTGATCACATGACTACTTGAGAATGGACTCCCTCATAAAGATGAATTTGTTTTGGTTTTCCAAACAGTAGCTTGGCTCCCTCTCACGGCTGTCAGTGCTTTGTCTTTGGCCGCTGAAATCTGTACAAGCAACTTGTAAATATAAAACACTTGAAAACGCCAATTCAACTCATGACAAAACAAAGTCACATATACATATACATTTTATTTTATCTCAATTACTCTCCCTCTTTTACCTTGAAGTCTTGAAAAACATTGTTATTCTTGCATGGCAGCCAAAAAACTGAGAACAGTCTTGATTAAGTATAGTAAACTGGGGCAAAACTACATCAAAAACTCTGATCATGCAATCCAAGTCTCTTCCTAAACACATGCATTTTAATAAAACCTTATCAACAGTGCACATTCCTGTATTAGCCTGTATAAGACAGAAATGCAATAAAAACGATGTTATCTTGAAAGTAGCACATGGTGAGTAATTAAAGTGTATGGAAGGTAGTATTTCTTTAATCTCCTTATTAAAAACAGAAAACTGTTAGTGGACGACCTGCTACATAAAAGTTAAGTAAATAATAAAAAGAGGACGTGACATTTGCTGAACTGCTCTTAGGAAAGGCAATATTTGCATATATAAACCGCCCTTGATCAAATAAACTGATAGCCTCTCGTTCTATTTCGTATGACCAGCCTGACCAGCCAGTAGATAGGTAGATAGACCTATCTACTGGCTGGTTTAGAGGGGTTCTGGACACTTTAGCTGGCCAGGATAGCTGGTTTAGCTGGTGGCTTGTTTAGCTGGTGCACCAGCTAAACCAGCTATCGTGGCCAGTTTAGCTGGTGGCTGGTTTAGCTGGTTTAAACCAGCTAAACCAGCCATCCTGGCCAGCTAAAAAAAAAAAAGCATAGATACAATAATTATACAAATAACAACCAACCTGCAAATCAACCTATACATCAAAATTAATATATTATCTAAAACAGGTGCATTTGATTTAAAATAAAAGTAATAAATATAATTCAATATTTAAATGGTAACAAAAACGTATGATAACAAAAAGGCAACAAAGAAAGTGTTTTTTGTTTTTCCTTGTTCATGTCCATAATGTTTCCCGTTGAGTAGCGTCCAGCCTTTCCCAATCTGGCCTGCATCTCTGTCTGTTGAAGCCACTTCTTGAAGCAAACTGAAAAGAAATGTACAGATATAAGTACACTGTAAAAAGAACACTTGACATTTACGTTAACATTTGGGCTGCTGTGGTTCCCAAAACTTGACCGTTAAAGTATGGTAAAATACATTACAAATTACAGGTTGGTTGGCATAGACGTTACAGTCAACAATTGCTTATGGTGAATTACAATGGCAAAAACAAATAGAACTAGTGTACACGGTGCAGCTGTATTATCTGGGAAATAGAAGAATCGGATCAGGATTCAGGATTCAGTATTGGCAGACAATCAATATCAAATTAATCGGATCATTATTAGCATCAGCACTTGATCACCTTTGTCGACTTGCAGCCTAAATACAAAGATAACTCCACTCTCCTACCACTCTTACCCCTAATAAGCCTTGGTAGAACTAGTGTCCGAGTCATGGGGTCCAGAACGGACTGAAGACATGTGGAACAGAGGACAGGCATGGTTCCATGTACAGGAACTTTGAACAGGTGTTTTCATCTTTTCAGCCTCAAGATTCACAACTTCTTGATCAGGTGTTTGATGTGGGCTGGCATGATCCTTTCTGCAGCGATAAATAAAGAAAACAAAGAAAACATTTTTAATAATAGTAATGATGGTAACAACAATAAAATTAGTATACAACTATTTATATAGCACAATTGCAAAGTGATTCTCAAAAACAAAAATAAAGAACAAAACAATAAAAAAACAAATTATTATAGGAATGTTAAGAGACAAAGAAATGCTAAACATTTTAAGAGGCCGACTACAAAAGGTTGACTCAATGGCTCTTGATGACATCAATGAGCAGTCCCAATAGATGCTGTTGTATACAAATAAATATAATAGGTACAGATTTCTTCTATTTTGTGTTGGATGATTTGTTTTATTGATTGCTGATGGATGTCAAGATGTGTTTTACAATTATAACAAAAAGATTATTGGAATTGGAATCAAAAGGATTGCAAATCATAGTTTTAATAAAATCACTAGCAATATAGGGTTTATTCAACAGCAGTAAAGCATTAAGTTGCTAAATTAACGTACACTGAACTGTAAAACAACTTACCACTATTTAGGAAAGGCTCTGATCAGAAGGGTTGACTAGTAGGACAGCAAAGAGGTGGAGGAGGTCTATGTCATGTACAACCATTGGTAGATGTTACACCTGAAAGAAAGATAAGGAAATAAGACAACACAGGAGGACAAACATCTTCTTAAGTAAAAGACCAAATCATGTCAAGCTTTAACCTGAGCCTGTTTTTTCAGTCTTTACAATGCACTGTTGGAAAATACATTCCAAAGGCTAAATTCAAACTCAATACCATAAATAACTGGGTACCAGTGCTTTACCTGATAGAACACGTTCCACACGGAGCAGCAACCATCCAGCTGGGCCTTTTGCTGCATATCATCTCCTCCCTCTCCACTGTTTCCAGTAGATCTCTACTGTCCAATAAAACTGAAATTCCCCAAAAAAATCATATTAAAAAAGTAAAAAACAATAACTTTCTTTTGGCATTGAAATGGATTAGAATATCACCTTTCCCCTGGATGTCAGGAAGGCCAGGAAGTCGTTCCCTTCAAGTCCACAACCAGTCATAGGAGTTCAAATGCAAAGCCTGACTGATGACAAGAGCGGGAGATTTACATTTTACAATTATATTTTTAATTAATACCAGAGCAGTGTGTACATAGGCCCTGTACGACATGCAGAGAACAAATCAAATCCCCTGACAGACTCACACACTTTGGTGATGTCCTCATCTGATAATGTTTCATTTTTTAGCAGCAAAGTAACATTACTCAAAGTATATGTCGGACCCAACTCATTTACAGTATGTTTTGCATCTCCTCAACAATGGTCTGTATCATTGAGTAGAAAAAAACTGTCCCTACAATTTCAGGTAGATTAACACACATTTGTAAGAAAAGTTTACAATGAAGCACAAAACCCCTCTTTGTATTAAGCTAGCTGCCACAGAAAATACAGCTTAACATGCTAACCTTTGATAGAGTGAGCTACAGTTAGCTAACTTCATGTTCAACACAACACCTCTAATGGCATTACATTGACGATTTTAAACTAAACTTAACTCTCTCAACTTGTAAGAAAACGTTAAGTTAATTTACCCTTAAATAACCACATCACGTTTTTCAGGGGAAAAACAAACTGCAGGAAACGTTAGCTGCTAACTGTTGTTAGCTAAGACAGCTAGCTCTTGTTAAGGGAAGTAACAATAGCCTCCAAGCAAACGTAAGGTTAAGTTAACATTAACGTCGTCGTTAAAATCGTTCTGTGTGACACGAAAAAAAGGGGGAAATCGTGTTGGTGAACACGAATCAATAGATTAAATGTTGTGACTATAACACGAAATGCCGTGAGACTGGGTTGAAATACCAGCTTAGACCAGTTTAACTACCAGCTAAAACCAGCATAGCCCAGCATGACATCCATGCTGGGCTATGCTGGTTTAGCTGACCAGGCTGGTCTTGAACCAGCAAGACCAGCCTGGCCAGCTTGTCCAGCCTGGTAAACCAACTAAACCAGCCTAACACCAGCTAAAACCAGCTAAAACCAGCAACCATTTTAAGCTGGTCTATGCTGGTTTTTTCAGCAGGGAAGGCTATCGCTATTGGGTAATCCCCTGCGCACCCGCGCAGCACTGAAAACACTTGTAGTCCACGCCCACCTGCGAGGTGGGCCCCACCTTCGGACTCACTTCCGGTATAAATAGGAAGGAGGCCCGACAATCTGCTTCCTCTTTTCTTCAGCACCCCGGTACTGAAGCACTGTAGAGACACTAAAGAGTACACAGGGTTGTGTTAGAGTTTGCTCCTCATGCCAGACGGGGTTCATAATGAGTTATGACCGGCACTCACGATGTGAATCCTGCCTGGGGTCGGAGCACGCGCACGCAGCTCTCGCCCAGCAGCTGTCATGTGCTCATTGTCATTGTGCCCGTCTCCCTCTGTCCGACAGACAGCGAAGAGCGGACGCTCTCGCTACTGTGGCCGAGGAGGATGATTAGCCAGTCCAGGAGTCCTACTCCGTGGACCAAGCCCTTGAGTTCCTGGATCCGAGTGCTGGCAGGAGTCGGAAGACTCCTACCCCTCCATCCACGGATCACTGTGTGGTTTCCCCATCCCGTTTCTCCCCCGGACGGAGGAGACAGAGATGGAGCCCGGTGCCGGCCTGGCCCGGCTGCGGGACCCTCTATCCGCCATCACGGCTCTGCCGTCGATAGGCAGGAACTGCCTGAGATCATCGAAAAGGCAGCCGCCTGGAGAGGTCTCCTCGTTCCTCCGGCTCAGGAGAGCTCTCTTGCCGGTGGCAGGAGTGTTTCTCCCGGGTACAGACCGTCAGGAGTGACCTGGTCTGGCCGCGCTTCCCGGCCATCCGGAAGTACCAGGAGGGAGCGGCGGCGGCCCCTAGGAGCCTGAAGGCTCCGGTGTCCTCATACGTCCCCCTCACTAAGGGGTTGACGGATGTTGGTTTTCCGACCGCGCCTGACGGCATTGTTCGGGGTGAAGCAGGCTAGCACGGTCGCCGCACGGCGTCCCTTGCTTTCCTCCCCCGGGGACCAGGTTGTCGTCCGCCAGACTAACCGGATGGACCAGTGTGCCTTCCAGGCGTCTGCAGCGGCGAACAACATCGCTCTGCTGTCTCACTCCATAGTGAGACTATCAGAGCAGCCCTCCATGCCCTCCGAGGCTTCGGAGGAGATAGACAAGGCTGCCAGCACAGCACTCACCCTGTGCGTATCTGTCACCGTCTCCACGGCGAGGATTGCGGCTTGGGTGACGCAGATTCAGAGCCACCTCTGGCTGCAGCAGGCATCCGTACCAGAGACGGCCAGGAAAGTGCTGCTGGATGCTCCAATCAGCCCGGATGGGCTATCGGTTAATAAACTGCAGAGCTCGCGGCATTCCTCTGTCCCAGATATACCTCCTACACACGGTCATAATAAGCCCACGAGCGCCGTTATAACGCCTCGTGTGGACAGCACTGCACACACCTCTACTCATCCCCTGAGCGTGTACGCGCCGCATGATGAGAGCCGGAGTGAAACGCAGTGTGTGGAGGCTCCCTCGCAGCCCTTTCGGTCCAGGCCCATCTTGGGTTGCCTCACGGGCAGTGGCGGCGAGGGCTCTGGCGTGGCTTGTCACCATGACGACCACAGCACATCACGAGCATGTATGAATGGGGTACAGAAGGCAGTTTTCATCTTATCCTTTTCTGTGATAGGGACTTGATGATACCCACTAGCCAGGTCCAGCGTGGAGAACCAACAGGCCCCCGAGAGTGCGTCTAGGGATTCCTCAATCCGTGGCAAAGGGAAGGCATCTTTTCGGGTCTTGCTGTTCAGCAGCCGGTAATCGATGCACATCCGAAGAGTGCCATATTTCTTTTTGACCAGGACAATAGGCGATGCGAAAGGGCTACTGCTCTCCATGATCACCCTTGACTCAAGAAGCTAGTGAATGTGGGCTTTAACCGTGTCATACTCTGAGGGCGGGATACGTCTGTACCTCTGGCGTACTGGCATTTCATCGAGCACTGGAATGTCATGTGAGATCAGATTTGTGCAGCCTAAGGGTGTTTCTCAATCTCGAGTAAAGCTGCTGCAGAGCCACTATTTCAAGCATACTACGTCATCGAGTGCCGCCGAAGTACTGTTCCAATGTCCAGCATACTTGGAAATTTACCGAGCCCGGCGTACTTCGTTTGGAGAAATTTCGAGGCTGCACATGTGTAGACTCTGCGGTCTTAAAATCCCCACAATGCTTTGCGCACGGACCAATTTCCCCAAATCTGTGGAGGAAAATGTAAGGCAGGGCCTCTCATATGACGCACACCTGCACACTTGCTAGCCTGTTCCACTCTTTGTTTTCCGAATGCCAGGAAGTATTCTTGCCTCGCTTCTGAAGCAAGACGCTCGGAAGACTTGTGCTACCAAGCAAGCGTACTCGCGATTGAGAAACACCCTAAGTCTCCCTCATGAGCTGAAAATACTTCACTATGATTTTGTAGTAGGGACCTGACCTGGCACTGATTTTCTTCTGACAATGCAGCCAAATGTATGGCATTAATCTTCTCTTGCACTGAGTTAGTGACTGTCTGTGAAAACATTCTGGCTGTCACCTGTTCTGCACTTTCTGTGACACCTGTGGGCAGACTCACCACATGGGCATGGCTCAAAGTACCTATCACGGTGCGTGGGTAGAGGACAACATCATTAACCCCCACATTGACTATAGGGATGTAGACTGTACCTCGTGTCATTTGGACCAGGGCTGGAGAAGCTAGCAACACAGCAGGCAAGCCAACACTCAGGGGTTCAAACAAGCCATCGTTACCTGCATGAAGCTGGGAGCAAGTCGCTGCAACCAGCTTCATAGTTCCACCAGGGACTCTGAAAACTCTCCTGCCCTTGACTTTTACTCTACTCGAGTGATCAGAGGGCCCATTGACCTGAGCTTGGTGACACTTTTGAAAGGCTTGTTGAAGCTGGCTGGGGGCCTGTGAGACAGAGGGCAAATCAAAAAGAGCAGAGCCATGCCGTGAAAATAACTCCCTGTAACATGTTTTAAGGATGTTCATGCCTATAACACACGGGGCAGATGATGCCTGACCAGTGGGGTCTTTAACAACCAGCACACCACGCTTTGTAATTACCTTATCACAAAGCTCAACATCAAGTTCAAGGTAGCCAACATAAGGTATATCCAGCCCATTAGCAGCCTTAAGCCGTAGCATGACCGAAGTTTCTCTTCTCCCCATGGCTCAATGTTCTTGACATAAAAATTCTCTGTTATGGTGCTCACCATTGAACCTGTATCAACCAAACATGGAACTGTTACCCCTCCCATTATTATGGTTAAATGTGGACACGTTGCTATCAATTCTACAGAGTCAGGGTTCTCAGAAGCTGTCTCAGAGCCATCAAGGCCCCCACCTGAACTTTGGCTCAGCGGTTCAGGTGGTGAAAGTTTCCCAATTGCTGATTCTGGTGAGGCGGCCTATCACCACGAATCATCGAGGTAGTACGAGAAGATGGCTCAGGTGATGCATACACTCTCTCACCATCACATTCCCTCGTGAAGTGACCAGGTTTACGGCACCTCCTACAAATGATAGGCTGCTTTTCCTGGTGAAAAGACTGCCCAGGGACATTCTGGAGTGCAATAAGACTGCCACTAAGCTGATTCAGCTGCTCCTGTTGCTGTTTTAACATGTCCTTTAACTCTGCCAACTCAGCCCTTGAGTCTTGGTTACCTGACCCAGAATGAGGACCTCCCGCCATAGCAAACTGGAAACTGGTAGCAGATGGGACAGAGTGGCTCCGTTCCCTGACACCCCCTGGCATTCCCTCCCGCTCCCACCTAATAGCCTCACCTCGGACCTCAAGCAAGGTGGCATTAGGGTGGCGTCGGACAAGC